CACTCTCGCTGGTGTGCGTCCCCAACGCCCTTCTTCTTTGCTCCATGGGCGTTCCTCCTGCCTCACCCCAATCGACAGCGCTCTTTCAACCACTTGCTGAGTGGTTGTGGGTCTCTCTCCCCGTGCCATCTCATCCTTGATTTGTGGGTTCAATCCCTCCAAAAAAAGGTCTCTAACTGGCGGAGAATCCTTATCCCAATTCAGCGCGTTGACCAATGCAAAAAACCGGGAATGATACTGCCTTACGCTGGCTTTCCCTTGTCTTAGCCCAAATATGTCTCTCCGGGCAATGTCAATGTCTATGTTGGATAAGAAACAGGAGTCCATTGCTTTAATGAATGCATCTGCGCTTTGGAGCGCTGGATCATTATCCCTCCACAGATTGCGCAGCCATGCCTTCGCGTCCCCATGCAGATGAGACAAAATAAACCCCACTTTCTCCCGCTCATCTCTAAAGTCTCTATCCAGCAGCTGCAGCGCAAAAAGCACATCTGCTCGGAAATTGGGGTACTGCTGCAAATTCCCATCAAAATGAGATACAATGCTGCCTCCTCTCTTCCCCAGCCCAATTCCCTCGGATCTGGGTCCCGGTAGCCCCTGCTTCACAAGCCCTTCCAACCTGGCTTGAAGATCTCTGCAGGCAGCTGCCGCTTCTTCCTCCCTCTTCCTGGATGCGATTATTTCAGCGCTGAGCTGTGTCACTGCTTCTTGCAGGGAAGCTATTTTCTGTTCTGTAGTCATCTCGCCTGACTCTTGTGAGCTCGCAAGGCACCAGTCTTCTGCCCTCCCTGCCTCGCTCCCGCAGCGATGCTTGAGGCGAAGAAAACCGATGAAACTGGGAGACGAGGCTTACTGTCAGAGACGGCCCCCAGGTCTCAGCTCACAGAAGACCAACGCTAGCCAGCAGAACTGTACAAAGTCTTTATTGAAGTTTAGTTCCCATTTTCAAGCCCTAGCGTGCGTCTCTACGTCTAGACCCTAGACCAGCGAAGCCTCGTCTGAGTCTCCGCCCCCTGTACACCAGTTTAAGACTCTAGCCTTACTCCACCTTCTTCGTTTCTCCTTCCGCCTCTGGGTCCTACTACCCCCCTGGGTGCCTTCTTTCCTGGACGCTTCGGAAGCGGACCCTTCAGACTCCTCCCCCTCTCTTCGGCGGGCTTTAGGACCCGGCTCCCTTTCCGGGCTGCTCATCGCGCCACCCTCTTGTACATTTGAACTTGGCGCGCGCGCGCTGCCCCTGACCTTCCTTTTGACCGTTTCCTCGCTCTCTGATGCAGGCGTGGCTAACCCTGACTCATGTCCTTCCGCTGACGGAAAGCTGCCTGCTGCCGATGCTTGGGACTCCTCCCCCTTACTGCTCTCCGGTGGGGAAGCTGGTCCCGATTTCCAGCTGCTGCTCTCTGAGTCCCCTCTGGCCCCTCCTTCCTGGGGTGTTCCCTCTGGCAACCCCCTAGCTCTGACCACGGGAGCCCCTTTCTGTGAATCCTCTGATTCGCTGGAGAGACTTAGAGACCTCGGACGGCTATCATCGCTGACCTCTCCCTCGGATTCCTCTCCCTCGGTCTCAACTTCCTCCCTCTCCTGTCCCTCTGCTCCTGAACCCCTGACAGCAGGATTTAACTTCAACCGGCTCCCACGTAACCATCCAGCCACAGCTTCCAGGCATCTGGTCAGTGTGTCTGGGGCCGAGTCAGGATGGCCATCCATCAACAGATAGAGTTGGGTGTCATCAGCATACTGATGGCAACCCAGCCCAAAACTCCGGACAAGCTGGGCGAGGGGGCGCATAAAGATGTTAAAAAGCATCGGGGAGAGAATCGCACCCTGAGGCACTCCACACACCAAGGAGTGGCGCGATGACAATTCCCCCCCAAGCGCCACCCTCTGTCCCCGACCAGAGAGAAACGAGCGCAGCCATTGAAGGACTGTGCCCTGGATCCCCACGTCAGCAAGGCGGTGGTCCAGGAGTTCATGATCGACCATGTCAAAGGCTGCTGACAGATCTAGAAGAATCAGCAGCCCCGACCCACCTCGATCCAGCTGCCTGCGGAGATCATCTGTTAGGGCGACCAGAGCCGTCTCGGTCCCATGACCAGCGCGGAAGCCGGACTGGAATGGATCCAGAGCAGATGTTTCATCCAGAAACCTACCAAGCTGTTCAGCAACCGCTCTCTCAATCACCTTACCCAGGAATGGGAGATTCGAGACCGGGCGGTAATTGGATAGATCTAAGGGATCTAATGATGTTTTCTTTAAGAGCGGACGCACCACCGCCTCCTTCAGTTCCCCTGGGAATGTCCCGGTGCCAAGGGACAGATTGATGATATCCCCCAGGGGGGCCCGCACCTCGTCTGGACACGCTCTAATCAGCCAGGACGGGCACGGGTCGAGAGGACAAGTGGTGGGCTTTCCAGCTCGGAGGAGTCTGTCCACATCGGCTGGGAATATCCGGTCAAAGTGGTCCAATACTGGACCCGAGGACAGTCGAGGGGCCTCCAGTTCCTTTATTGTATCGAAATTGGCGGGGAGGTCATGGCGGAGCAATAGGACCTTCTCCGCAAAAAAGCTCGCAAATGCCTCACAGCTGTGTGTCCAATTGTTATTTAAATTTGGCTGTCCTTCGAGGGACGTTAAAGATCGGATTATACTAAATAATTGCGCCGGGCGAGAGCTAGCGGATGCAATGGAGGCCGAGAAGTAGGACTTCTTAGCGGCCTTCACTGCCATCTCATAGGTTTTCATAAAAACTCTATAGGATGTTCTTGAAGCTCCGTCACGGGCACCCCGCCATACTCGCTCTAGCCGTCTGAGGTCCCGCTTCATATTCCGGAGCTCCTCGGTAAACCAGGGAGCCCGGTTTCTGCGGGGACGCAGAGGGCGCTTAGGTGCGATCTCATTGATGGCTGCCAGGAGCTGGGTATTCCAGCCCTCAACAAGCTCAGTCAATGAATTAGGGGTTCCTATTTTACCTGAACAGTGGGACAACATTTTAGCTTCTGTAACAAATGTGTCTCTAGATTATAAAATATTTCTTATACACCAAAAGATAAAATTTAGAATATACTGGACATTTGTACAGAAGGGAATTCCGTATCTACAATGCCATCGTGCTGGAGAATAAATAAGGATAATGCTTCTTTGAAACACATGTTTATGTGATGTCCAACACTTACAGATTTTTGGAGGAAAGTATTAGGATGAATACTAATACTTGAGGGGGAAATAAAACTGTCAGATGATCATGGGGAATGAGTGTGAAGTCCCCAAGGCAGCATCTTACCTGAGGAATCTTGTAGATGCCCAAGATACTTGCCATTTGGAGAGAGGAATCAAAGTCCAGTCCCCCAATAACTGCCGCCAGGTGCTTTTGGATGTTGCACTTGTAGTTGGGCATAAGCGTGGAGGGAAGATTCAGAGCAGCCCGGTAGGTCATCCTTTCATTGAAGTAACTGTCGTAGATGTGGAATCCTAAGGTGATATTACGTAAGATCTTGGGGTTCTCATTGACCTCCTTGACAGCAAATACCAAGGCCAGGATATGCTGGTAGTTCTTTGGCAAAATACTGCAATGAGAATTTTATACTGTATACTTGGGATATATGCTATGCAATTGTCATTTATAGAAATTAGGACCTCATGACAATTCTTCAACATTTTCATGCAAATTATGCTCTGACATGCACATATCTGCAAAGCAATTTCCCCTTAAAGAATTCATTGCATTCCACTTGTATACCACTTTCATTAATATACGCATATATATATATATATTTACATTTTACCCCAGTATATGCATTTTGTATACATTGCTTGACTGGAACACTGCACTGCAACATTTGGTGAAATGTGAAAGCGCAAAACATACACATACATTCATCTACAGGTACTGATCAAATGAGCTGCATCGAAATGCAGAGAAGTAGATACTCTAACTTAATGGAGTAGTTCTCATCACTTTCAGAGCTGTGACACATTTATAACTAGGAGCATCATAAAAGTCTAGCCTGGTTGGGATGAGAACACCTGGGACTCTTAGAACTCTACCTCAGAGGAGAAGTGAGCTTTCAGACCCCTCACACCAGGCTTTCTGAGGTGAAGTTCAGTATTCAAAACAGAGAAGGATTTTCTATCTCAAACTAAGCAAGTTTAAGCTGTGGGTCTGATTGTTAAACTCTACTTGGAAGAAATTTGGTGGGATATGGGGAGCAGAGAGCACACCAAGGGGCAGCCTCTTCTCACTGACACATTCAGATCTCCATTTCCCTCCTTCCAAGCCAACACCTCAGCTATGCAAAAGTCCCCACCACCACCACCATTTATGCCTAGAAGGAAATCCCGCTGAAATCAGTGAAACTTGCTTTTGAGTAAGCCCGGTTAGAGCTGGGGAATGTTTTTGTATCATCTGATTACTTAACACATGAAGTATTTACAAGATATCAAGAAGTTGATGGATAGGTAGCCTTTCTGTGAAGTCTTCTTCGCCAAAAGAAGTAAAGAGGTGAGAAGCAAGTCCGCCAACAATAAGATGACCAGGTTGGTAGTATTCATGTGGAATTCTGGACAGATCTTGGATGGCGCAACTAGTGGTGTGTTCGCACACCATATGTGGCAAATGAAAGAGAAGAGGCACAATAAACAACAGCATACTGAGGCAAATACTATATCTTATCAGAAACACTCATTTCTATCTAGAACATATTTTCAATATTATGCCTTGTCACGAACAGCACTTCTCTAACAATTCACAGATTAAAATCCTATTTTGCAACTCTAAAACTAGAAAAGCAGAAATCCTTTCTCTGCCTCTGACCTCTCCCTTGCTTAGAATAGCAGGAAGGGGTTTTTATACCCTTGTTTAGACTTTGGCTGGTATTCTCTGGAAATCCATTGAGACATTATCCAAGGGAGATTTATTTATGACAAGACTGGTAATTACTGATGAGGTAATAACTAGGTCTCATTACATCAGGAAAATCGAACAACTGGCAAAAAACATGTTGTTATAGACCTGAACAGAATAAAAACAAAAACGGTACAAGTAAAATATTATAATATACACATTAAGGTGGGTTGTAATAAAGAAAGTATATAAAATATCAGGAATATTTAAAATATTTTAAGCTAAGATATACAACATGATATGTTGAAATGCTGAAGTTATGAATGAGTTGGTGGGCTGGGGAATAACATAACAAGAATAAAAATTACCAGCCAAATTCTCTGCTTAGATCTGATTCTAACAGTCAGAAGTGGTAATGATAATGGAATTCAATATCCCACAAAAAAGGGATGGTACAATTTTGGTGGGACACTGGATTATCTGAACATTTGACCCAAATTTTTATTTTTATTTTCACAATTAATTTCTACAACTAACTACCAAAAAACCCCCACAAATTCTTCCCCTTGTCCCCATTCACAAAAACATTTCAATACCTTATCTTGAGGTTCTTTAGACCTCATGACTTCCATTACCTCTTCTGTTTCCTTATATTAACAAAAGTCTTCTGCATTTCCATACGCATATTTCATCAATTCTTCTTCTTCTAATTTTAACAAAATTCTTCTGCATTTCCATATGCATACTTCATCAACTCTTCTTCTTCTAATATTATCTAATTTTTGCTGATTGCAACTGTGTAGTCTGAGCCTGCCAATGTATCAATTTATTTACATTATTTTGCACATATACAAGAAGTGTTTTCCATTCTTTTTCCTAACTTTGGCATATTTAAATTTCACAGGAAGGTGACTATCAGTTAAGGCAGATTTAAAATCCTGCTCACCTTCCTCACAGTCTCCTCTTACTCTCAGAGGCTGTAATTTTTGCCTTATTTCAGCCACCAAGGCATTCCCAAATATTTCCTGCCTACCCCCCATGCCATCCATATCTGCCCTGAATATCTCCTGGTATTTCTTCATTTCAATCACAGTTTCCATTTTTCTAAAAAGTTCCTCCATCATCAAGACCTCCACCGCTTCTGTTTTCTTTGTCACTGGTTCTCTCTTAATAATCAGTTCTGTCACCATTTCAGTATTTTTGTCCATTTGGGCTATATGTTTATCTGCTGTCTTATCCAAATTTTCCTTTATCTCCTTCATCAACTCATTTCTCAATTCATAAAAGAATTCCACCCATTCACCATAAGGCTTATTCCCTGTGTCCTTCTGTCCAAACTTGGGGTTGGTTGCTTTTTAATTGCTATGTTCAATAAGTTACTATTAAAACAATCAAAAAAGGTCCAAACAGAATTGAAATATCCAATACTCCTTCTACTCGATTCACTCTGCCCTTGCCAATATTCTCTTTCCCTTGTTCTCAAAACAACCAATTTTCCAGCCATACCTTATCAGTTTCGTCAAGGCCACCAAGTAACATTTCCCCAAGAAACACGGTCTTTTGTACTTTTCCATCCCTCCAGCACGATTGCCCATTACACATATACAATTCAAAATAAAATCCAGATTTCAAATTAACATTCAAATTAAACAGATATCTACTTTAAAAAGAAAACAAAAGCAGTTTGTCCACACAAAATCACAACGTAATAATCCAGAGGAGAGAAAAAGACTCACTGATCCAGTTCTCTAAAAATGTCTTGAAGTAAGAGTTACAGACAACTGAAGATCATTATAATTCCTCTTTTTTGGCAGAGTCCAAATGCCCTTTACCAGGCTTCCAACTCTAGATAGGCAGCGTAGTGGCTCTCGGGTGTTCCGATTTCTGGCACTGCATTCCCTGTCAATATTCAGCCTCTATGGCCAGTTTCAAGCTTTAAAGATCCAATTTATCTTTTAACAAAACAAAAAACTTTAGAAGCAAGCTCAGTCTTCTTTAACTCACTCCAACCAAAATGTGCCTTGCAAAGCCCATAGTTGCTTCCATACACTCACCCCACAGAGTACTTCAATAGTCTTGTTTCAAGCGTTCTCTGCTGGGCTCAAATTCACCCACGGCTTTACTGCAAGGTCCTCTCCACAATTCTCCATTATAAATCCAATAAAAGGTAGTAAAGAATGGGCTTCAGTTGCTTTTAATCGATCTTTCCCATTGGCAGACATATATCTAATAGAGTCACGTAAAATTGATACCACTCTCACTTGAAAGTTGTTTCCGTGCAGTGATTAACCAGAAAACGGGGATGGACTTCCTTTTTACTCCTCCGTCTAGCACTGAATTCAGCTGAAATAGATCTAATAATTAATCTTCTTTACGTTTCCATCGGCTTAAATTTAGTTTTCGGAAGATCTCTGCTGCAGGTAGGAGTTTGAGGCTTCGCTCCCATGGAGTTGCGATACTGCCGTGTCGGCAGGCTCACTCTTTGGTTCCCACCGCCCACTCCCCATTCCTCTCGGAACAGGGGTTTGAGGGTCACAGGAGAACCCTTTTGCAGACTGCTGGACCTCTTGACACCTTGAGAACCCTCTCGAGGGTTTTTAGGGAGGGTGCCTTGCCTTGGCGCTTCCCCCTGTATCTCCGCGGGGCTCTAGTCCCTCAGACGATCAGACTAGCACTCCTTTTCACCATTCACAGAAACCAGAAGTCCCTATTCCTTAGTTATACTAATTAATATTGTTGTCCTCCTAGGCAACCTGCATCCCATACAGCAATCTGGCCGGGCTACCTCTAATAATGGAAATCACTACAGAAGAACTTTTCTATGTTCATGGATAATTTATTTTATTCAGCAGGCGTGCATGATACCAGCAGCTGGTTAGGTTTTATGTAGATTTGTTCTGTCTTATTCACTGAAATCATCTAATGTACTTCTACAAAAATTCAATAAACTTCTCTCCAAACAAATAATGTAAAGTATGAGACCAGCAGCCAGGCAGGATAGGTTTAATTGGGGAAGATTTTGTAGGCTTGAAAATAGGAATAGAGGACTCACAGCAACAGAACACTGGCTCCAGAATGTGTGTTTATATTGTCATGGAATTGGGAGGGGGACCGCTTGCTAAACTGTAGAAATTAATAAATGGTATGATTTTGATTATTTTGAATGTGAAGGGAGAAAATACAAGTCGCAAAGGAATTCCTGGACTAGCCTATGCAAAACTCCCAGGCCAAACTAGGGCCATTAAGAAACAATACAAGGTCACTGAGGACCATTGGCAATGCAAAAGAACTGTCCTTCCCCCTTGCCCCAAGGTGTGAACAGAGACAAGGGTTTGAAAGGTTGCCAGGGTAACTGGATGTGAGGTGATAGGGAGTCACAAGCAAGGGTTACTGGGAAGAATGTTGTGCTTACACACACACACACACACACGCACGCGCGGTGAGACAAGGCTGTGTGAGGCCTGCGGGTTCCATGTCGAAGTACTCTTGCAGCCAACTTGGTATAAAAAGTTGGACCACCCTGGGCTAAACAAAATCTACCTTCTTGCATCCAGGCCTTTCTGTCTTGACAATGGTCTTTGATCTAGGTCTAATGGTCCCCATTCAGAACAACCAGGTATGCTTGGATAAAGCTTGCTGGTGGGGCCTGTGCCTTTAATTGTTGGGATTAGGATGAGACAAGCTAGCTCTTGTTATTTTCAGTCTGTACTCAGGTACCAAAGGTGTCTCTGTATCTTTTTTTAACTGTAATTTTAAGGTATTTTTTTCTGTTTTGTACTGTAATCTCCTAATAAAGTATTTGCTTCTATTTGCTTTTGTGGCTTCTTATTGTAAGCTTTTGCTCTGAATCTGGTGCCTGGCAGTTTGCTTATGACTACTGAGTAACTTGTCGGCTTGTGGCTGAGACGACAAAGAGTGGACCTTTGCTTTTCGTCTTGGGGAAAGTCATTGGATGTCCAGGAAAAAACTTGAGTACCCTGACTCAGAATTTTGGGTGACTTCGCAGGGTTCCTGGCAAGGTTGGTTTTCCCTGGGTATCGTTTGGTTTGAGGACATTGTCAGAAATGAATGTCTAAGTCAGTTAAAGACCCACTTGGCTACAATACCACCTCCTGCTGCTTTTACCAGGTAGTGAGGATAAAGGAACAACATGCTAACTCCCAGGGAAGTTCAGACATTCACATGTGCCTAAGCACGGGTCTCTATACCTACGGCTTCCTTAGTGAAAAGAAAACAGAACAAATGTCTCTTCTAGTTTGCTCCATGACCAGCAATGGAATTGGACTTCCTTCCTAAGACCTACACCAATGATTTAAAGCAAAAAAGATCCTAAGACCCAGTAGTCATATAAGTTGACAAATAAAATCAATCAACATTTTAAAAGCGTTTAGAATACAGAACATAGCACACACACAAATAAAAAGGACTCTTAGCTAGCCTTACCAAATACCTCCTCCCCTGTCTCCATCTCCAAGGCAAAAGGGTGTTCACACACTTTCACTGTAAAAGCAGGCCAAAGGAAAACAAGAGGGATAGCAGAAAGACAGGGGTGTGGGGAAGCATCAGACACACTACCCCCCCCCCCAAACAGGATCCACGGGGAGGACAACAGCACTCTTATAAGTTGATGATCCTATGAAGCAGGCCTCAATATTTTGTGGCATCCATTACAGCTTCTTTGTTATCCAAATGCACCATGAAGTCCAAAAAGATTAGGGAAAACTGTCTCACAGTGACCACAGAGAATTCTCAAATAAATTGCACATAGCAATTGCAACTAAACAAAAATATATATATAATCATACAATAAGGATAATGAGAGATTATATTGCCCACATTCTACTAAAACAAAAAACAAAGATGATAGGATAATTTATTATTTCCTCTTTATTAACTTCTCCTTGCTGTTCAGATCAGGCCTCAACACAATGATGTAGCACTTTGGGAAAAAGATGGAGCCCAGTAAGCCAGCACTGGAGGCCAAGATGGAGAAGATCTCCACAGCCACCATGTATTTCCCCTTGGTGCTCAGGTACACTGGAACAAAGGAGATCCAAACACTACAAAACAAGAACATGCTGAAGGTGATGAATTTGGCCTCATTGAAGCTCTCAGGCAATTTCCTGGCAAAAAAGGCCACAACAAAGCTGATAATGGCCAAAAAGCCCATGTAGCCCAGGACACAGTAAAACAGGGCAACTGACCCTTCGTTGCAGCCTAGAATGATTTCCCTCATCGCAGAGTGCATGTCAGAATCAGGGAATGGGGGAGAGGTTCCTAACCACACAGTGCAAATGGCAGCTTGAATAAGAGAACAAGAAAACACAATGATGCTTGCCAGTCTTTTCCCCACCCACTTCCTCATTCGGGATCCTGGTTTGGTGGCCACAAAGGCCAGAACCACCGTGATAGTCTTGGCCAGAACACAAGAAACGGTCACTGTGAAAACAAGGCCAAAAGCCATTTGTCGGAGCAGGCAGCTCACTCTTTCTGGAGGGTTGAGGAAGATCAATGGGCAGAGGAAGCAGAGCAGGAGGAAAGTGAGGAGAGTGTAGGTGAGGTCCCGATTGTTTGCTCTGACAATGGGTGTGTCCTGATGTTTAATGAAGATGGCTTGGACCACCACTGTGAGGAGAGAGAGAGAAAGAGAAAAAAGTGCTAAGCTTATCCCCAGTGGCTCTTTAAAAGACAGGAAGCTGATTGTCTTTGGAATGCATTGTGATTGGTCCCTGTTTGGATAATGATCTTCAGGGCATGCAACACATCCATCCATGTCTGGAGAGAGAGAAAATACACTCAGATTTCAGATATGTTGCCAATATGGAACCACATTCTGCAATTTAGTTGGACAATGGTGGTAACTATAAATTGAAATCATCCTTGTATCAATTGTTCAGAACAAGAACTAAGGAATGTATCTTATACCAAGTCAGATCACTGGTCCATTTAGCTCAGTATTGCCTGATGTATTTTAACCTGACAAAGATGAGATCATGGGTTATAAACCTTTTCTTGCGAGGAAAGATCCATATTCCTTTATGTCTGCCAATAGGGATGGAGGAGAACTTTGGTTTTGTTGCCCTTTGAACGGAAAGATTACCCAAATTGCACTCCTTTCACCAATACATGAACCAAAATACATTTGCCCTGAAAAATGAGTACTTCTCTAAAAATTTGTGATGAATTATTTGCTTGATCTTTTCAACAACTTCTAACATGACATACGGTTTGAAAAACATATCTCTTGTGTCTCTTACCCTTCTGGGATGAAATCTTGCCTTGAGGACATGGAGCACAATCATAGCAGCAGAATGGCTCCCCCTCCTTCTTCTCCTTGCTGGAACCAGGAGGACAACTTGGGTTGCACACAGAAAGGGGTGGAACCTGCCCATTTAAAGAAACACTTAAAAAAATTAGCACAGAGAAATTAATACCAGTTTGGCCTTCTGTTTTCCAACCCACAGCTAGAAGTAAGAAAACACTAAACTAGTTATTCCAAAGGCAGGACCAAACTGACCATCTTTGAGCCCCCTTCAGGCATTCAAAAAGTAGCCCTGCCCATTTTGTCTCCATACATAAAGAGAATACCTCTTCCACCAACAATTTTACCATATTGAATGGGAAGGTCTGAAACACTGAACATGCTTAGAAGTCTCCTTGTGATTTGTGACTTTGTGCTATTATCATGTGTCAGGGGTTCAGGGACAGAGGCACAGGTGAGGGAGGAGACGGAGAGCGAGGGGGAAGAATCCCAGGACAGCGAGGAAGAGGATGACAATGACTTGAGGGATTCCATGAGTCTTTCAAGTGAATCGGAGGATTCCCAGAAGGGGGCGCCTGTGGTCAGGCCAAGGGGAGTCACAGGGGGGACTCGTCAGGAGCAGGGGACCAGCAGGGGAACCCAAAGTGGGAGCTGGGAGTCGGGACCGGCTTCTCCGCCAGAGCGCAGTGAAGGGGGTGGAGATTCCAGTGTGACAGGGGAAGCAGGTCCGAAAGCAGAGAGGGAGGGAAGATCGGAGCAAGACATCCTCCCGGAAAGGGAGGGGAGTAGTGCAGGGAGTAGTGTAACTGTCAAGAGGAAGGTTAGAGGTTGCGAACGCGCGCCAAGTTCAAATGTGGAGGCGCGCGGAAGAACAGGGAGCCCGGAGGAGGAGCCAGGTCCCAAAGCACGCAGGAGGGGGGAAGAGCTGTCTGGGGATTCCGCGTCAGGGGAATCCAGGAGGGGCGAAACCCCAGGGGGCAGGAAGACCCTGCGGAAAAGGAAAGAAAGGAAGAGGTGGAGCAGCACAAGCCTCTTAAACTGGTGCAGAGGAGGGACTGACTCAGAGGGGACTTCAGCGGTCTAAGCGTAACAGACGTGGGGCTGCGCGCCTCGGCTGTGGAGCGTACAATACACTGCAATAAACATCTTTGTATATAAACTGGACTTGGCATTGGTCTCTTGTGAGCTGGGACCTGAGGCAGCCCTGACATCATGTTTCCCAAATATGAGGAGGCTTCTAAAAGAGTTCAGCCGAATGCAATTAGAAGTCCCCTTCACACTTGCTGCCATGCACAGGAAGGCATTGTGGGTGGAGTTTATGCACAGCCTTTCTTAGTTTGAAGCCTCACAAGTTCTTTTGGGAATACTTGAGAAGGGCTTTTATTTTTAAGATAAAGCATGCTCCTGATCTGTCCTGAGGGCCCAGGCTGGGTTGCTGCTTAAAGATGGCTGCTATCTGTCTCTAAAGATGCTGTTTTCTATAAACAAAACCTTAAAGGGCAAATAGTATATGGGGCAGAGGACTGGCAGGAAATTGTGGTACTTCTTTTATTTAGAGGTGCAGGGTGCAGCATTTTGGAAAGGACAAATCAGTATATTTCCTGTCTATATAAATTTCATATGTTTAATCAGTCCTTATTTCTGGGGGGGGTGCAGGAGTACACATACCTCTAAACATTTTGTGAATCTTTGTACCTTTGTCCATTTACTGTATTTATTTTTTCCGATTTGAACTATAAAATGGTGGTTTTGAGTCAAAATGAGAGTACCCCTAAACATTTTTTAGAAAAAAAGCACTGTGTTTAATCATAAATTCACTACATCCCATTTCCACATTAATCCACAACTAAATTCGCATTTAAATGTCTATCTTATCCTAATATTTGCATTTCTAAGTTTCTTTTATCTTACAATATGTATTTTTCAAACCATGTTGGTCCTTTCTTGAGCTGAGAAATGTATCACAAAATTCAGAGAAATGTGAAACTTAAAGGATAATTAATGGTGGTCTGATCTGAGTACTAATATGAGAGTTATGAATTCTGTCAGTTTCCATAAAACTGTAAACCATATGAAATTATCCTCCATCCCTAGCCCACAGTTTCTTTTTCCTTAGGATACAGGTGGGTAGTGACTTTGGTGTCTCAGTTAAATTCTAAGGATTATGAAGCCAAAACTATGGTAACTTAGGTGTGATTCCCCCCCACCCCAAGTAGAAGAACTGAAATTGAACATTAGAGAACAATTTTTTTTTTTGAAATACACTTGAAAAATTGGGGGTGGGATTTTTTTTGGGGGGGGGATGTATTGCCTGCAAGTTTTGAAAGGGTATTAAACTGCTAAAAGCTCTGTTGTAATTTGCGGCAAAGTGTCTAGTCCATTTACAGCTCTTCATGCAGTATAATTAAACTATGGAACTCATTCCCACAGGAGACCGTGATAGCCACCAACTGGGATGGTTTTAAAAGAGGATTTGAAAAATTCATGGAGGATAGGTCTATTAGTGGCTATTAGCCATGAGGGAGGTTATGCTCTGTCTTCACGGTCAGAGACACTATTAGGATATTGATGTTCCGTTCCACCTTAACAGATGTGTGGAGTTGTTGTATGTCACATGTCTGTTTACGTTCCAGCACAGCTTGCTGGGAACTTACCTTGTGTGTATAGTTTTTGCTTTATTGCTTCTAGCTCTTGGACATGAAGAAGAGCAGACATGTTTTCTTTGTCCTGTTCTATGCTGAATAAATTGCTTGTAAATATGCTTTACATATGCCTTTGTCTGCCCTTCCATCGCGAAGAGTTTGTTATCTCTGTTGGCTTGAGTGCTCAACTTCTGAAAGGCTTCTGAAGCTCTGAGTCGCAGATTGATGCAAAACCAAGGACTGGAGTTTGACCGGCAACTGGCCGGTGGGCTGGAGCCATCTGGGGGCCTGCCAATTGCCCCCGTTTCCTTGGACGCATCACAATAGTTGAACACTATCTTATGGAAACCACAAGAGTAGAGAGCGCTCTTGGGCCCAGTTCCTGCTTGTGGATTTTCCACAAACATCTGGTTTGCCAATCTGAGGGAAAAATGGTGCAGAAGGTAGGCCATTGGCCTGATCCAGCAAGCACATCTAATGTAATGCAGAAGAAAATGTTTTGAATGAGGCTAGAAAACCAGGTATGTGCTGGGCTGATGATCGATAAGTGCGTAATATTTTGTTTTCCTATATCTCATGGGTGTTGGAATTATGCCCCACCTGGTGAAAACTTCTGTGCCACACCATTCGGTTGTCATCAATGGAGAATTTCTGACCTGGGGCAGCCTCCAAATCGATCCTTCCAATCTTGACTCTCATGAAGGAGTGATTTGGAAAAGTGACCATGTTAGTAATATCAAAGCCAGCTTCTACTTCCCTGCTCTCACTGAAAGATACCGTTTCTCCAGCAGAGTTGTTGAAGGAGACAGTCCTAAGGAAGGGATGGAGCTGCATTGAAAGAAAAGAGAAATGATGAAGTAATGCCTCCAAATGGTCAGTATTTTCTGGGGTGAAATTCTGCACATACTATGCACATGCCAGAATACAGTGGTACCTCGGGTTACATACGCTTCAGGTTACATACTTCAGGTTACAGACTCCGCTAACCCAGAAATAGTGTTTCAGGTTAAGAACTTTGCTTCAGGATGAGAACAGAAATCGTGCTCCAGCGGCACAGTGGCAGCTGGAGGCCCCATTAGCTAAAGTGGTGCTTCAGGTTAAGAACAGTTTCAGGTTAAGTACGGACCTCCGGAACGAATTAAGTACTTAACCCAAGGTACCACTGTATTAGGTTTGCACAAATAAAGTGGGGTTAAAGCGCTCACACTATTGCAACAAATCCATTTTTCTCAATTCCTTCTCAAACTTTCCCTCCCTCAATCCATAATTTCTCATGCCCTCCCCTTTTTGGAGTGTCCATAGAATAAGAAAGTTCAGATTGAGGGAGAGAGAAGTATGGGAAGAGAGTGATTTGGAGGAGAACGTCATATGGGCAGTGTGGGTGAGTTCTGTGCTGTAGGGAGTGATTACTTTTGATTTGATTTAATATATGTATTCCAACTCCCAAAAAACAAGTGTTGAGCTCAAGGTAGCATAAAATAATGTTTTCCGATCCAATAATGCTTTCCGAGCCAGGGTGGTGTAGTGGTTAAGAGCGGTGGACTCGTAATCCGGTGAACCAGGTTCGCTTCCCCGCTCCTCCACATGCAGCTGCTGGGTGACCTTGGGCTGGTCACACTTCTCTGAAGTCTCTCAGCCCCACTCACCTCACAGAGTGTTTGTTGTGGGGGAGGAAGGGAAAGGAGAATGTTAGCCGCTTTGAGACTCCTTCGGGTAGTGATAAAGCGGGATATCAAATCCAAACTCTTCAATGTCCTTTTTACTGCCATGCAGCATGAATGGACAAATTAAATGGCAATTCTGGGTTGTCTTTTGTTTTATGAATTTATTAAATTATAGCAATGAAGGAGTAAAGGCATGAGAAAGGAGTTCAGAAGACTACTAAGAGGACTGCTGGGAGACAATCTACACTAATTTCCAGGGCACAGTTCATGTTAAATAAATTGTATTTCATGAAAAGGCATTACCTGCCAAGACTGCAGCATTTGAAGATCCTGCATCCCTCCTTCCACCACTCTCCTATATTTTGTCCTGGGCAAGAGCATTCCATGTAGAGCATGTGCTGTGGCATAGACGGCATTATAGACACTGTAGCTGTGACCAGACATGCTCATCTCAAAAGCAGATGAAATTAGTTCTTCCAGCTTCTCCTCTCCAGTGCAGGTTCCACTGGCCTGCTCCTCTGTATTGGAGTTTGGAAATAAACAGAGAAAGACTTCTGCCCAGAACTGCTTGACAAAGCCATTTCCATTTGCCTCAAAGGGATTTTGTGCCTCAAGAAAGGCTTTGAATCCTTGTACCACATTTGAATGAACTGAAAAGGAGAGGGAACCCTGGAAGACTTGCATATCCATGCTCATTTGAAAGGCCAATGCTGTGAAATCCAGCTGTGCTGTCAGAATCCATACCTTGCCCACAGATGTTTTGGTCACATTTTCCAATTCGCCTAGCGCTACCATTGTTCGCAAGCTAAGCATGGACTTTGTTTCTCCATAGAAAACAACAACTTTGGCTTTACTTTCCATAACAACATGATAAATTTGGATCCACTGGGAATACATGGCATAATACTCAGTCAAATATGTGGTTTTCAGGGTTTTCTCTGAGAAGGCCAAGCAAATACCTTTCTGGGACAGCAGAGGTGTCAAGGTCTGAACAAATCTCTCTCCACTGTGATTATCTCCAGTGAGCAATCCAACCCACGTCCAACCAAAGTGCAAAAGTAACTGAATAATCCCAGTGTACTGATGGGCTTCGTTTGGCACCATCCGGTAAAAGGGAATGGACTGGCTTTCATCGGTATATTCTAGGGCAAAGGAACCATAAGTGAGCTAGAAGGAAATAAAGGGACATCAATATAGTAGAAGGAATTGGTATCTGCATCTCTAACGGCGGTTGTGGCAAAGACAGTTGTAATGACAGTAGGCAGTTGTCTTTACCTCACTATCCCATGGACAAGGGAGTCAAACAAAAGCATCTTCCCTAGACTCTCTGGCCCATGAGGCAGTGATATAGCAGCGAGCAAGGGAGGGGAAAGGATTCATTCATGGTGAATGAATGTGAAATCTCCAAGGCATCTTACCTGAGGAATCTTGTAGATGCCCAGTATGTCTGCCATTTGAAGGGAGGAATCCATGTCAAGTCCCCCAATAACTACCATCAGATGTTTCTGAGTGTCACACTTGTAGTTGGGTATAAGTGTTGATGGAAGGTTCAGAGCAGCCTGGTAGGTCATCCTTTGATTGAAGTAACTGTCATAGATATGGAATCCCATTGTAATATTAGGCAAGATCTTGGGGTTCTCATTGATCTCCTTGACAGCAAATACCAAGGCCAGAATATGCTGGTAGTTCTTTGGCACAACACTGCAATGAGAATTTTATGCTGACTTCTTGGGAGATATTCTATGCAATTATTATTATTTAAATGATATGCTGTGCAATTTTTCAAGCACCTCATGATTATTCTTCAGCATTTTTGTGCACAGTGTGCCCTATTATACAGATATCTGGAAACCAATTTCTTCTTTAAAAAAATGCATTGTAGTCCACTTGACAACTTCTATACCACGTTCACTAATATATGCATTTTTAAAAAATAAATACTTTACCCCAGTGTATGAATTTTTGTATACATTGCTCGGCTGGAAAAGTGCACTGCAAAATTTAGAGAAGTGTGAATTTCAAATAATGGCTCCGTTTTGCTTTTCATATTTCTTTTGAGCAAGCCAATTTTGGGAGGTTCACATTTAAATGTGAACTGATTTCAATCCCGCCCCAATCCCTAATGAGGCAATACTTATATTTATTTTGGAGTCCTGCATGTTCTCGATAACACTTAAAGATTTAAGAGATACTGATGCTGACACCAAACTCTACAAGGCTTTTACCCCAGACCAAATTCCCTAAACAACCACCTCCCCAGTTCACTCACAAATTGATTCAACTGCTAGGTACCATCTGCTTTTGGCCTGCAAAGCTCCACAGATCCTATTTCTGGCTGCTTGGACAGTTGAGCTCATTTAAGAAATCTGCTTTTATGGCATTTTTCTGCTAAGAACTGGGCAGCTTCTTAGCCTAAAATACACACCAGCTCACTTGTTCTAATCTTCGCCAAAAAAATATTGTTAACAAACTGGGTTTAGGGAGCTTAAGCCTTATTTGTCTGCTTTCACCTCAGCTTTCTCTTGTCTTTGCCTCACACCTCACTCATTACTTCTCCCAACTGACAGTTAACTGCCGTTTCTTCACTGTTCAGAACCTTCAGCCAATCACTGACTGTTGTTCCCAAAGCCAAACAAAATGAATGTACCTGATCCAGGCTCTGTCTATAAATATTAAACACAATTGAATCTCTTTCCCCTTCCTGTCTTCCTCTCACTAAGTAGCTGAACAGGTCTGCACCACATTAAGAGCACAAGTCATCAAACTTTGATACTCACACACTGACATCAACAGAGGCCATAAAACATTTTGAAAGCACAAAGTACAAACATGTACAAAACATTTATCTGCAGGTATTGATCTGATCTAACAAAAAGTTGTGTCGAAATGCTGAGAAGTAGGTAGCCTAGCTTAGGGAAGTGGTTCTCATCATTTTCTGACCTGTGACACATTTTTAACTAGGAGTATCCTATGAATCTTGTCTGAGTTTGATGAGAACATCTAGGGCTCTTAGATCTCCAACAAAAAGGAGAGGTGAGCTTTCAAGATCCCTCCCCCCAAACTTTCTAAGGTAAAGCTCAATATTCAGAATAGAGAAGGGCTTTCCATTTTAAACTACGGTAGGTAAATTTAAGCATGTTCAGGGTTGGGGGATGTTTCTGTACCAGCTGATTCTTTGACATGTCCTTACAAGGTATTAAGAAGCTGATGGGTAGTTAGCCTTTCTCTGAAGTCTTCTTTGTCAAAAGCAGTAAAGAGATGGGAAGTAACTCCGCCAATCATAAGATCACCAGGTTGGTAGTATTCATGTGGAATTCTGGACAGATCATGGACGGTGCAATTCATGGTATGTTTGCACACCAAATGCGGCAGATGAAAGAGAATGGACACAATAAACAACAGCATACTGAGGCAAATATTCTTCATCATCAGACACCCTTATTTCTGTCTAGAACATGAACCTTAGTTCCAGAACCACCCTCAGTAGAATATTTTGCCTTGACAGGAACAGCATTTCCTCACCAATTCACAGATTAAGATCCTATCCTGTTGTTGTTTAGTCATTTAGTCGTGTCCAACTCTTCGTGACCCCATGGACCAGAGCACGCCAGGCACTCCTGTCTTCCACTGTCTCCCGCAGCTTGGTCAGACTCGTTGGTAGCTTCAAGAACACTATCCAACCATCTCCTCCTCTGTTGTCCCCTTCTCCTTGTGTCCTCAATCTTTCCCAACATCAGGGTCTTTTTCAGGGAATCTTCTCTTCTCATGAGGTGGCCAAAGTATTGGATCTGTCCTTCCAGTGAGCAATCAGGGCTGATTTCCATGGACAAACTCCATGGACAAAGACAACGAGATCCTATTCTACAACTTGACAAAGACAACAGCAGAAATCCTTCCTCTTCCTCTGCCCTCTCCCTTGTTTAGAATCACAAGAAGGGTTTTTTAATATTCTCATGTTTAGACTTCGGCTGGTATTCTGTGGAAATCTATTGAGACATTATCCAAGGGAGACTTAGTCATGACCAGAGTGATAATTACAGGTGAGGCAATAACTAGGTCTCTTTACATCAGGAGCATCAAACAAATGACAAAAAAAACATGTTTGTGATGTTTCATTTAAAGCGGTTTCTGTTAGTATCTTCAGCTCACAGTCAGAGGTACCTGGCCTCCCCCGAGGCAATTGAGCGAGATACTGTGTTCACCATCCGTCTGCGACTCCCGGCAGGCTAGGTAAACAAACCCGGCGATTCTTCTCACTAGTCGTGAGAAGAACACACCCTCTGCTTCTCTGCTTCTCTCTCTCTCCCTGCATTCTCCCCAGAGAGGGGAAATGAGACAGACAGGAGTCCTTTCTACATGTTTTATTCCAGTCACTCAACAGTACATAGAAATGTGACTGCACCCTTCAGACTCCATTAGAAGAGTCACCACTCCTCCCCTGTACTTCCAGCACAGGTCAGATGACACACTGAGCTAACATCTGGTGCTCAGTACAGAGAATAGGCTCCACCTTTTCTCCAACAGTACATCTGCAAAACATAACATCCTGTTTTGCATTCCAGCCATCTGGAGCTGGCTTTTGCCTTGGTGCTTTTTCCCAACATCCTCCCCCAAAAGCATCAATTGGCAAAACATGATCCAGAGAAAAGAACAAACAGTTGTTATACATATAACAGTCCCCTGTTGTTTCAGTTCCACCCTTGGAACTCCCCACCACTGGTTTCACCAGTGTACCTCTCTGGTTGTCTGGCTTCCAAGGAATGAGTGCTTCTGCATTACCTTGGCTAGCTACTCTCTGTTGTGTCTTTGTCCCTGACTTAGACACTGCTTTAACCTGCTTTGAGTTGTTAACAATAGCAACACATGCAACAGCTAAGTTAGCAAACTCTTTTGAGTACCTCTTTGGTGGTACACCCTTTGTAACTCTCTTAGACCTGCGTATGAGATTCTGATCCTCTGTGCTCACTGGTTCAACCTCTGGACTCTGTTGAGAACCAGTAGCATTCAGTGGTTCTTCCTTCATCTGTGAAGGTCTATCCATTGTGTGAGATTTCCTCTCAATGACTGTTACAACTGAACTCTCTGAGCTATCACTGTCATCATCATCAGTACCACTGTAACCTGTGACATCAGAAAAATCATCATCATCATCTGAATTGTCACCTGTGGGAAATGTCTGTACTACCCGCTCTTGCTCTGGAGCACTCTCTAGGAACTTTGTGAGAATCACCTGACCAGATTCAGACAAAATTACTCTGTAGAGACCCTTTTCATAACCCACAAAAATGCCTCTGGCATTCTTTACTCCACCTGGAGCTTCTGTTCTCACATGAGACCCGAAAACCTTAAAATAGGCAACAGAAGGTTTTCTATTGAACAGCTTCTCAAAAGGAGAACATCCCAACTCTGTTGAGACTTTTCTCAACCACACATGAAGATAGGACGCTAGCGATTCGGCCCAATATTCATGTGGCAAATGTGAACTCAGCAATTGTGCATGCATCCCCTTTTGCAATTCTTTGTTCACCCTAACACAGACCCCCCTGTTCCATGCTTCGGTCGAAACAGCCACTTTGTGGTCTATCCCTTTTCCATCCAGGAACTTCTGAAACTTCTGTAACAGAAAAACTTGTTTGTCATCTGTGAAAAGACAATCAATGTTAGCATCATGCATATTTTTAACCTTGTCACAAAACTCCTGAAACTTTTCTAAAGTTTCTTGCAGTTTCTCCATCATATAAACCCAAGAATAATTAGTGAAACTATCCACACACAAAAGGTAATACTTTGCACTGCCCCTAGATGGTTCTTGAGGACCAATCACATCAGCATACACCCGCTGAAATGCTCTGTCGACCTTCTTGGTCACCTTCCTGGTGCTCACACTGGTCACACCTGCAAGAGAGATTTCGTTAGAATCAGAAGAATTACATTTCATGTAATCACTTTGATCAAAAGTCAACCAATACAGTCCATCTTTCTCTTTGGCAGTAAGAAACAGTTCTCCATCTTTGTATATCTTGCAGCTTGTAGCATCATAGGTCAGTTTCAGTCCTTTCTTTGCAATCTGCGACACACTCAGCAGATTAAATCTCAGTTCTGGAACCAGGTAAACATCACTTATAGTCAAGTTCAGACTCTCAAGATACACAGTTCCAATTCCAGTCGCTTCCGACTCTTGACCGTTGGCCTGTTTCACAGCGAAGCTTTGCTTCTTCAACGTCGAAAACAGTTGTCTGTGCGGGCACATATGAACCGTCGCGCCCGTGTCAATTATGAACGAGTTCCCAACATCTGGCGTGGTTCCTTTCGCCATCATAGCCTTTGCAGGTTTCACCTGGCACTTTGTATGGCTTTTGCCTGACGCCTCAGGCTTCGTAGAGCTGCTATTTGCTCCTCTTGACTGGCGCGGCTTCTTACAGTTTCGCTGTAGATGCCCAGTCTGTCCACAATTGTAGCATCGGACAGCACTCAATGCTACTCCATGCTCCCTAGTAGCATCAGCAGTGGGGGAATTAGAACTCTGTTCTTCCCTCCCCCTGTCCTTCACTTCCAGTGCAGCAAGTCTGTCGTGTTCATTCAGGACCACCGCACACACTCTCTCCGCGGTTAGGTCTGCCGCAGGTAGGGAACCAAGCTGACTGGCAACAACCTTGTAGGTGCGATTAAGGCTGTTTATCATCAAGAAGCAAAACACTTCCTCCTGAAGACGGAAATTGCGTTCCACCATCTGTTGACGCAGAAACTTCATTTCTGTCAGGTGCGCTTGAACATCTCCATCAGGCGCAAGTCTCAGATTGGTTAACTTCTCAAAATACAGCAACGCTGAAGAACCAGCATCTCTCTGATGCGTTGTACGCAGCGTGTCCCAAACCTCTTTCGCATATTCTAAATGCTGAACATGCACCAACTGATCATCTGAGACACACAGAATTATAGCAGTCCTGGCCCTCACGTTCTGTGATTCCCAACCTCCGGTTGGTGCTGCAGGGATGGGGTTTTCAATTACATCAAAAAGCCTCTGATTCTGCAGCAGGGCCTTCATCTTTACAGACCAAGATGAATAATTGTCATTGGTTAAGGGAGGTGGGTAAGGCAAAGCTCCTTTCTTGGCATCCATCTTGAAGCCAAGCCTCTCTCACTTTCCAGCCCACACTCTCAAACAAACTGTAAAATCCAACAGTTGTTTTTTTTCTTCTCAGGCAGGCAAGCTGCAAGTTGTTTACGCTCTTTGGCACCTGGCAGCTAAACTCTGGCTGCTATGAAAGTCCCTCCAAGGGCACGTAAACTTGTAGCCAAAACACTCTCTGGTTTTGTTTCGCTTTCCCAGGCTCACACTCACAGTCCAGCCCCTATGCCAGTAACTTTCCAACTTTCCGTTACTTAGCAACAATGCATTTCAATAGGACAGTTTATCAACCACAAGAATTTGTGGAATGCAGGCTTCAGCCTTTAAGCTGCAGGCCTCTTCCTCCCGGAGCTTTTGTTTTCGTTGAAACGCAGCTCCGTGAACCAGTGAATTAATCAAACTGCGTTCACACTTTTAGCCCGAAATGCAGCATACCTTGAACTTTGTTGCTCTGGAAAACACCTCTTCTTTCCACCAGCTGTCTGTTGAGCCTCTGGCTTCTTTCAGACGCCTCTCTTCCTCCTTGGAGCAGAGGAGGACAATTCACCAGTCTCTCATGCAGATGTCCGATGAATCGCAACCATCCGAAGGCTGCCATATGTTAGTATCTTCAGCTCACAGTCAGAGGTACCTGGCCTCCCCCGAGGCAATTGAGCGAGATACTGTGTTCACCATCCGTCTGCGACTCCCGGCAGGCTAGGTAAACAAACCCGGCGATTCTTCTCACTAGTCGTGAGAAGAACACACCCTCTGCTTCTCTGCTTCTCTCTCTCTCCCTGCATTCTCCCCAGAGAGGGGAAATGAGACAGACAGGAGTCCTTTCTACATGTTTTATTCCAGTCACTCAACAGTACATAGAAATGTGACTGCACCCTTCAGACTCCATTAGAAGAGTCACCACTCCTC